ACACAGCAGACACACCTACACTAGGCTACACAAGGTAATAGGGTCTGGTCACATTAGAGTCATCAGCCTATATAATATACATAGACGACCTAATCTGATCCATATCCAGCTCAAAGACAGGCACACGATGACGCACCAGGCTGTATCAGTCAGGGGGATTCGACGCGGGGCCGAAGCGTAGATGGAAGAGGTCGTCCATGCAGCAGTAGCAGTGGGCGGCGGTGTGACCAAGACAGTCGCAGATGGTGCTGCGGCGGGGGCCGGTTTGAAGCTGGTACTCGCAGGTGACCACACTAGCTGCTGCTGTACCGGGGCATCAGCCCCGGTCCCCTCGTCTGCACCGTCGTCCCCTCCACCACCACTACCACCTCCGCCACCCCCACCACCCCTCCCGCTGCCACGCCACCCCCAGGCCCAACGTTTCCTACCGTGATGAGCCTGCGCTGAGGCCGCCGCAACGGTCTTAGCAGCAGGGGCCTTCTCAGCAACAGCGGCAGAGACGTTATAGTAAGTGCACTAGGAGGGAGCACAACCCTGGATGATAGGGACCACAGTATTACCGCTAGACTGAGCGATAGTGCGCTGGCGGGTCTCTATCGCGGACAGGGCGGTGACAAAGGCAGGAAGGGTGAGTTCACCCGGGTGCTGACTAAGGAAGTGGTTGGGGGCAGTGGCAAGGCGGTCAGGAATGCGCGTGGCATTTAAGTAAAGGGTAGCGCAGAGGGGAGGAGGGAATGCAGTGAGCTAGGCCTCAGTGCTACCAGTGCGGTAACTAGTGTCAAGTGCGCGCAAATGAGTGGCAAGGTCAGCGACGGTGAGAAAGGGCGCAAGATTTGGGAACAGCATGGGGAGGATTAGACGGCCAGCTAAGGCGGAGGAGGGAGTGGAATAGCGTGCGATGTCTGCATCTAAGTATTCCTTCGCATTTGCTACAGCAGTAAAGCGGGGATGCTCAGACAAGGGGAGGGCGTGACTAGTAGCAAGGTGCGCTACCGCAGCGCACGACTCCCAGACAGCGCGGGCAAGCTCAGCAGTGGCAAAGACCTCATGCTCTGCAGACGTGAAAGCGTCAGGGAGGGAAGCAGGCACGGCGGGGCAAGGAAGCTTACCATAAACATGGACAGCCAGAGAGTAGCCGTTCTTGCGCTCACCTGTAAGCTGACGGCAGAGGTCGACGAGCCACGCCTCAAAGTCGATCGCCCGACCCTTTGCGTTCAGGCGGAGCACATCGTCCGCCATCAACATGGCTGCAGCAGCTGACAACGGCACAGCGGCATGGCGACACGGCGGCATAGCGATACGACGATACGGCAACATGGCGGCACGATGGCATGGTGATACGGCGACACAGCGATACGACGGCACAACGTCATTGCGGCACGTTAGCACGCGGCATGGCGAATACAAGGGCCGGCGTGAACTGGGGCGGCCTCGAACGGGGGTCAATGGGAGCAGGGGCCAGCGCAAACTGGGGCCAGCGAGGTAGGGGGCAGCGAGCGAGCGTGGGCCAGCAAGTGTGGGCCGACGAGCGAGTGTCGGGGCCAGGGCGGGTGCTCGGAACGAGGGGCTGGTGTGGACTAGCGGGGCCGGTGCGGAGGGACGGTTCGGCGCGAAATGGCAGAGCTGGCGTGAACTAGCGGAGCTGGTGCGAAGTGGCGGGGCCGATACGGGCTAGCAGGACCCTCGCGGACTAGCAGGGCCAGGGCGGACTAGCAGGGCAGGCGCGAAGTGACGGGGCCGGCTCGAAATAGCGGGGCCGGCGCGAACTGACGGGGCGCACTGGCCAAAGCCACCAAATCAAGCAGATCGTCAAAGACAGGGGCGGATGCTTGATGATTTGGGGATGCATGTCGTATGAGAGAGCGGGTTTCATGTGTAAAATAGACGGTAGGATGCATGGATCGCTCTATCTGAGTATACTGCAGGACGAGCTCAACAGTACTATCGAGTTTCACTAGCTTTTACCTTCGAAAGTTATGTTCCAATACGACAACGACCCCAAGCACAAGTCCCGTATCGTACAGGAGTGGCTTCTAAAGCATGATTTTGGGGTGCTGGAGTGGCCATCATTATCACCCGACCTCAACCCAATAGAGCATCTATGGGCTCATCTCAAGAGGGAGCTGGCCAAGCACGAGAGGCCTCCCACTGGTATGCTGGACCTTTGGGAGCGTGTCTACGAGGAATGGGAGAAGATCCCGGCGGATGTGTGCACCTACCTGGTGGAAAGCATGCCCAGGAGGGTGAGGGTGGTGATTAAGGCAAAAGGGCGGTGGACTAGGAACTAGTTTGGGGCTGTTGTTACTTGCTGCTTGCGCCTGGCACTAATTGTCCGGATGTACCATGATTGTTAATTTCTGCTATTTGCTGTAAACATCAATATTTTCGTGAGATGTAAGGCATAGGCGTACTGCCTTACCCCAACCTACATATAGTGGGCACACAAAAAGATTAAGGCTTAATGTGCATGACCCCTTTATATTTCAAAATTCGTCAAAGG